AAGAACTGGGTCAGCTAATGCTGGTTAAATTTTACCCTGTGATAACTTGTTCAGCTGATGCCTGAGGCACGGACTTGTGTTTGCTGGAGCATTACCACTCATGGCTGTGGGCATCGTCTCTTAGACAGGGCTTGTCACTGCAGTGGAGTCAGCAGAAACAATTGTGTGCCCATGCCGTTGCTTCACTTCAGGGTATATCAGCATAAACAAATTTTTCTTTGTGGTTTAGGCTGAGACACTGTGATGTGACAAGAGTCACTGGAGCGTGGGGATCCGTAGCAGAGTCTTTTCTGCTGATGCTGCTACGGGGGGTAGGTAACTCCAGCTAATGGTGGTGGCAATCAGCTGAGAGTGACAGCATCTTATGGCAGGTGCCCTTGATGTACATCCACTTATCTCATACAACACATTCATCACATATATTATTCCATCTCTGTGTCATCAGTCAGTTTAGAAAAAATCAGGTTTTTAACAGCCTGTTTGTTGTATGAAACTAAATTATGCTTCCTTCATGCTTTTCTACCTTATGCACATCAATGTACAGAATCAAAGGGATAGTAATTGTTCTTATGCGGCTGTATTTTTAAGTTCTAAAAATGGCAGAAGGTTTTTGAATAAGCTTCAAGAAAAGCTTGGATCCGAAGTCTGGACTGAAAATTGGCTGATTGACTGTTCTCCAGAAATATAGGTCTGGAAAAATTGTAAGCTGAAAAACTTTTTTCAGCCTAAGCACATTTCCACCTTCCTACATCTGTTTTTACATGCTTTGACTTTGGCATTTGGGTCCAAGTTATGCATATTCCAGAGCTGATTTGCACGGACGTATAGACCAGCTCTGTAGCAGAAAAAACCTTCTGCCCTATGATTTGTCTTGAACAGATACCCATTGTGAACAGAGCAATTCTTCTGAAAATGTCTGTCAACAGAACGGGTTCCTGCAGAGTACCTGTCTCTGTGCACACATGCAGCCCCTCCGCAATAGCAGTGCCAGCTAATTCCCAGGTGGTACTAACTCCGTACTCACTCAAAGTGCTGTCAAAATCAGTGATAGAAATTTTATGGGCAGAATGTAAGGTTGGTCCCAATGCGTACTCTTATTTTGGTGCTTTGTGTTCCTTTTTCAATTGTTTTACTCCCTAAATACAGGTTATTTATTTTGTCTCTTACCCACATAGTTATCACGAGCAGCAGTAAGTCTCCCAGTGATTAGTGTGGCTATCTGAGTCTCCAGGAAAAGCCACATCACCACTATGATTACTTCTGCTGATATTAATTTTAGAAATGTGTTCATGAATAAACCTAAGGACCAACCATTTGCTGATGGGAGAACAAACTGTAAACAGTGCTGTTTTAAAAATATATTTGGTTCAGATGCTGCATAACGTGCTCATTTCCCTGCCTTCCCTTCCAGGTGATAGAAGACAATACCGGCGTTCGGAGGGTGGTGGTTACCCCCCAGTCTCCAGAGTGTTATCCTCCTAGCTATCCTTCGGCCATCTCTCCAACCCATCACTTACCTCCATACCTGACGCACCATCCCCATTTTATTCACAACTCTCATACAGCTTTTTATCCTCCTGTCACTGGACCTGGGGACATGCCACCACAGTTTTTCCCACAGCATCATCTTCCCCCTACAATATATGGAGAACAAGGTGAGCTGGAAGGAAGGTACCTGCATTTCACACCTGTGTTCAGCAAGTTTTAAGGACTAGTGGAACCAAGAGTGGAAATTAATTGGAGAACTTGTGGAGTGGCTTTGCCCGCATGGATGGAGCATCCTTCATTAACATCTGGAGCAGGAAAGCGTCAGGACGTGTAGCCATCCAGAGTGCAGCAATTTAGGACAATCCTGTGTCGCAACACTAGGTTGCAGAAACAAAATCAATTTTGACTGAATTTGTAAATACAGTGGGGAAAAAATGTCTCATCCCATGCTCCAAACTAGGGACGTGAGTCATGCCGGTTGCTCTTGCTGCGTCACGATGCAGCGTTGTACAGAAAACCAAGAGACAAAATGTGTCAGTCCTGGCTTGGGAATGAGGATGGATATGGAGGGCTGGATCCGGGCACGGCTTGCCGCAGTCATTTCCAGTGGGAAAAGCGGAATACCACTTCCTGTCGGCTGTAATGTGCCTTTTGCCCCCCAGCCGTGGTTTTCCAAGAAATAACAGGCATTTTCTGATTGTTATTCTGGTTGAGACTGTGCAGCAAGTCACTAAAAAGCATTGTCCGATACTGAAGGGTAGCATGGCAACCCTAATCAGGCCAAGAGTAAATAATTGCAAGAAAAGGAGTGAAAGGAGCATATTTCTGTCTGAACTCTGCCCTGTTGTGTCTCTGCCACCCTGGAGATAAGTCTTTGTGTAATCTGAAAGAGGGAGTTAACCAAAAAAGTAATTGTCAAAGCTACTTGAGATGTTTAACATGGAAATCAGTTCAGGATTCATGGTTTTTCATTACTGCTGAACTACCTGGAGTTAAGACCCTTTCTAAAGAATATGCTTAAGCCGTATCACCAGAAGTGAGGTTCTGCTGGAGTGGGAAGGAAGAGGCAGAGAGAGAGAGAGAGGGGAGGTATCTACTGATGCCACCTCTTGAAGTTTCTGTTGACCCACAGACCTCATTTTCTAGTGGGGAGCGGACCCTTACAGCTGACATTTAACTTCATTGTACTGGGGGGAGGAAGTGGGAAGCTCAGGAAACCAGCAGGATGGTGTAGCCAGCCAGATCCGTAGGGGAGGGACTCTTCTCTTGAAAAGGGAACAGGACAGTTCGTCAGATTGCTTGACAAAGTCTTGCACACAAACGTGGTAGTGTGCGAAGTGAACATAGAGCTGCTAGTTAAGTAGATGTTGAATAATTCTGTAGCTTGGAGATACCAAGAAGCCAATTCAACTTAAAATTAAAAAAAAAAAAAAAAAAAAAAAAAAAAAAAAAAAATCCTTGGTTGCTTTACTGGAATGACCTATACCTGTAACACTGAAATAATTGAAGTGGTGAATATTGTACTGATGAGCGTTAATCTACTGTTTCCCATCTGCTGTACAATGGGTTATACTTTAAACAAAAATTGCATTTATTTGTAGCATGCTGTTTTTAGGCAGTTAGTTGCTGTGAGAATACAAATATGATCATGTAGCTAGATAAGGAAAGATGAAGGCCAAGACACAGTGAAATAGCAAAGAAAGAAAATCTGGCTAGTTGAAACAACTTGGAAAATTATAATACAGTATACATGGCAATCTCAACTTACAAACAAGGCTTCCAACAGCTGGATAGGATGCTTGTTTGCTTCAGAGATTTGTATGATAACTTCTGAATGGATGTAGAAAAAAAATATGAAGAATATATCAAGTATCAATTGTTATTTTGCTAACAAAGGCAAAACTGTTGTTTTGGGCGTGAATTTGTTCAAGCTTCAGACTCGAAGTGGAGCACAAAAAGGAGGATTGAACTATAGGGAAAAGCAGAAAATATTCTGATTCCTGCAAGCTGACCTGCCTTAGGTTAGAGATAGTCATTCTTGGAGGGGGAAAGTGGGGATTGTATTTAATGAAGTATATCTGAAGTATGCATATGATATTTATGATATTTCTCAAGCTTTTTTCAGACAGTTTTACTTACCCAAAGCTTCCACTTCATGCCGCGCTTCTCTCCTTAGGCAGGCACAGTTGACACGATTGTAAAGTCTATATTTATACTGGGAAATTAAATTGCATGTAATCAGTGATGGCAGCCTGAAACCAGGGCATCTCAGCTTATTCTGCCCAGTCAGGCCCTGGGGGAAAAAACTGCTAAATTGCTGTGAACTTACGAAGGCTTTTTCCTAAATATCAGTCTCCCTGGATTTTTCCTTGAAATCTGTGTCCCCAAAACACAAAGGCTGAAAAGAGGGGGAACAACTGTCACCCTAATTGCTGTATTTAACTTGTTCATATGTGCTCATCCAAAGAGTTATAAAATCTCAAAGAGCAAATGAGCACACTTAATATAATACAAAAAAATGGATCAGTCCTGCAGAAAAGCTTTTTTAAGAAAAAAACCCTTGGTTTGGTGTAAAACCCATCTCCAGGAAAATCTGGCATCGTTTCATTTAGGGATGGTCAGGAATTTGGTTTTCTGAAGAAAATTAAGTTATTTTGTTATTCTGAGTTAACGTGAGTGAATTCTTTCATTTCAGAAATCATACCACTATATGGGATGTCCAGCTATATTACCAGGGAAGATCAGTACAGCAAACCACAGCACAAAAAACTCAAAGACAGGCAGATTGATCGCCAAAACCGTCTGAATAGTCCTCCTTCATCCATCTACAAAAGCCATATAGGCAGCTGCACAACTGTATATAATGGTTATGCAAAGAGCCACAATGGAGCAAGCAGCGGAGGTGGCGGCGGAGGGGGGGCTCCAGCAGTAAAGAAACCGGAGCGCAGGGCAAGAAGCAGCCCAAAGTCAAATGAACAAGACCCACATGGTAAAGACAGTTTTATTTCTTTTTAATTCCTTTTTATTGCACCTTTCCGGCTTAATGACCGCCTGTATATGGATCTAGTAACTATGCCAAAAAACACTACCACCCACACATAAAGACAGTGTTAATACAGTGTGAACGTAAATATAAATGTTGAGCTTGCTATACTATATTTGTTTTGTAAGATGAACCGGTTGCCTCCCCATCTTTCATGACTACTCCTTGGTAGATGCAGCATCATTCTCTTTTTATGTATTGGAAACCGAAATGCATTTTATGGTCAAGTTCTTGGTTTTATTTTGCTTTTCATACAGGCATCTAGGCAGTTGACAAAAATCCTTATGGACAATTGAGCTATAACCAAAACCTGACTACTAGGTACCACTACTTTGCACCTCCTAGGTAAATGTAGTAAACTTATTAGAAAGGTTAGAGATGATTGCTGAAAAAACAAGTCTGTTTATGTGAAAGTTCAATGGAAGTATGATTAGTTGAAATGGAAGAAATTTGAAAAGAAATTGCTTAATCTTAGCCATTGGAATTAGTGGTCAAATAAACCTGGCTACTTTTGAAATAATTTTCTTCAACGTTTTCAGAGGCTTATCATTTAAAAAATTGAAACTTTACAATAAAACATTAGGTCATTCATCTAATCAAATCTCATTTATCACAAGCCATTCTGCAGATAGCCAGTTCGTGCTAAATTTAACTCAATAACTTGTTATAAACCATTATACCTTTCGGCCTTTCTTTGCCTGTCTCTTTACTGACAGCTACAACTGCAAGTGGCTGAACAAACTGCTAGGTAGTAAGCAAGCTTATACCCAGCACTTCTAGGGTATTTATAATGTAGTGCACTTTGAAATCTCTCGTGTGAATTTATGCATACAACATAGGTTTTACATTATCTGTATGTTGTGTATATTTATTTGGCTGTGTACTTGTGAGATGTAACTGAAATAAATACTCGTGAAAAGTAACTTAATCGATAGCTGAAGGGGGGAAAAAATGCTGGCATGGTAAGGAATGAGGATTTGTAGGTGTGCTTCGGGGTCTTTAGAATTAGCAAGGAGCTGTATTTGGGAATGCTTTAATCCAAGAAAATGAATCACTGCATTAGACTTCCTAATTATTTCTTGTCCATCAGCTTATATGACCTTTAATATTCTTATTTATGTTTAATTTTTTTTACTCTAGTCTGTGGTGGAATACATGAGGTATGTGGAAGCGCCTGTATGAAAGACCTGGAATAAAGTATAGTCTTAACAGCTAAACTGCAGTATAGCTTCAGTGAGCACTGAGTCAGCCTGGATGATCACTTTTAAAATAATCTAGATTTAATTTAAAAATCTGTAGTTTAAGGGTTTCCTGCAACCCTTGTGTTTGTCTCATTTTTTCTCTTGGAGTAGTCTGCTGTGCTCCAGCAGAAGAGTGTGGTGAGCGCTCTTAAAATCAGTGAAGTCAGGGCTACGGCACGTCCAGTCTGTCAGCCAGAGAGCGCCTTAAAGCTGGGAACAGCAAATGATGGAGTCTTCCCCCAAACTGTAAAAAAGTCTGTAACAGGAGACCATGCAAATAAGCATCAGTTGTCCCACCTCCTGATAGATCCAACTCACTGAACAAAGCCCTAAAATAAGCTTCCACTTGATATTTATAAGCTTCTCATCATAGCTGCTGCTTTATTTACCTTCTCTGTTTCTTCTTGAATTATTTGGGGATTTATTGATTGATACCTGACTAACGCGGCCATACAGGTAATTGGGGTGAGAATTAAAAGCAATCTGGGAACAGCTGATAATTTTGATTCATGCTGCTAAGATGACAGCGTGTTTAGAATAGCCAAGAAAAAGAACGTGCCAGAAGCAACAAGCAGCAAAGCTGTTTAAACGTGCAGTTTTTGTGGATGTGTATTGATTCAAGCCTGTTAATAGGTAAAAATTTGATGGTGCTGTGTGGCTGCTTCCAAAATTCCAGAATAGCCTGGAAAACTATTTTTTATATATATATATATTAGAAAAATATGTAGAGAATAAGAGTTTTTATTTAGAAAACCACTTAGCTAAAAAACTCTTAAGAGGCAAGTAGGAATGTGTGAATTTAGAGTAAGACTTGGAGAAAGGTGAGGGAGAACTGGAGGTGATGGGTTCGTTTGCATGAATTCCTTAATCGAGTTTGTGATGTGTTTTATAGCATATCATTTCGTATCTGGTTGGGGGGTGGGTGTGTGTGTTTGTGATACGGTAGCTGGTGTGCTTATTTTGGGTGTTTGGATGTTGGAGCAATCCAGTGAGCCAGCTCCTGGCAAGCTGCTGTCACCAAAACAGTCATGCTGCCGCGCTGCCTGCCGGGGAGCGGGGCTTTAGGAGCCCTGTACACAGCTGGAGCAGACACTTGCACATCCTAAATCCTGGTTGCCGCAGAAAATGGCGTGCATCAGTACATAGTACTGCAGCATGACATAGCAATTGGTTTCCCTAGGGGCTGGGCTTTTCGGAAGCAAAGCATTGGAAGCCTCCTTGGCGCTGGGAGTGTGAGTAGGAACTTGCCGGTGGCAGGCGGTGTCTCGCCCAGGGCTGGGTGCGTGCCGGCAGTCCCAGCCTCTCCTAAGCCAACGCTTTGAAAGGCAGTTTGAGTGCCTGTTTTAATCGGTAGAGGAATATGATCTGCACAGTGGCGTTTTTGACGGGAAAGTGGAAGATAGGCTTTTCTATTCTTGGGTCTGCTACCCCTGTGTTTAAGTAAATGCTTGTCCTGTTCCTTGTTTCTCGGTAGTAATTTCTTTGAGGGATGTGTTGCTCCTTACTGAGCACCTCCAAGCAATCTCTGCTATGACTGCACTGAGGTTATTACAGAGTACTGTAAGAATAACATTGAAGAAACTCTACTTTTTTCCTGAAAAGGTATGACATAAATCACAGGACATGAGATATTTAAGTTAACAATGTAATTTTCCATCAAAATATACACTCATTGCATGTATTATGCCCATGACATTTGAGTAAGTACTCAAGGAAAATTCTGCCACGTGTCAATAAGTTACTGCCTTTCTTCCAATATTAAAAGAACGAGGTGTTTTCCAAAAAGCTGATTCAGCACTGGTGGAAGAAATGGGGTGATCGTGTTGTCAATAGTACTAAAACAAAGTAAATGACTCCGGAGTGCTTTTGGTTTAGTCACCTCTTCAGTTGCAGATCCAGCATGTGCTCCTCTCTGCCACTCTGTACTCTATGCAGCATGATGTTACATTAAAAATACGTCGGTACTTCTATTATGCACCGTTATCCCAGGCTGGCCCTGTAGCATAGCATCAGGACCTCTTTTTAGTAGGGAAATTACAGTTTCAGATTGGGGATTTAAGTGCATTTCCTCTGTCTTTTTCCATTGAAGGCATTGTGCCTTTATGTTGGGAGGTGCACTTGTAAATAAAGATTTCTAGTTACGCTGGATGCTGAAAATATGCCATTTTAAGGCAAAAAAGGGAAAATGATGGCTTATAATTGCCTGAAAAGTTAGCAGTTATTGCTGTGGTAGGATGGATGCTGTATTGTACAGGCAGAAGACTCGGAGGTATGTTGCAGGGTTTCTGATTTAAAAGCCATACTGTAGTTTTTCTGCAGAGCTGTTTTAAAAACTGAATGGGAGAGGAGGGGATCAAGGTTGGTTTTTTGTTTATTTTTTTTTCTTTTTTTTTTTTTTTAAATAAAGGAGCCTCGCCATGTAAAAAGAGCTGTGAGCGGAAATCCTGTCCCATTCATGCTGTCCTTTATGAATTTCAGTCTGAGTCACTTCCTTCTCGTGCACTCAGTGGTTCACTTCTTGGTCCTGTAGTTATCTGGTAGTTTGAGAAGTTTTGTGTGTGGCTGCAAATACTGTGGGAACATAAGCAGTTCTGAGCATTCTTACAATGCTTTCGCCTATTTGCTAATAAAACATCTTTTTTTTTTTTCCTTCAAATCAGATAAAAACTTTTTTTTTTAATCCTCATTGAAGTTTGAAGAACCTAAGATAGCCAAAACTAAAACACTTCAAATGGGTAAAAGTAGAAAGCGGGAGATGGATTGTTACGTGCATCCTGTCCAGGAGCTGGGTGGGTGCTGGGAACTGGGTGCCAGCATATAAACAGGCCTAGCCTGGGCAGGGAGGCAGCTCCGTGGGGGTCGCATGCACCTTTATGTAAGCATTCTGTAAAGAGTATTTTTGGTGGTGATTTGAGAAGATTTGGCCCTACTGGGTCAGAGCAGGGGCCCATCTAGCCCAGTGGTCTATCTTCAGCAATTGTGATGGAGACGCTGCTGGGGGAGAGCCTGCAAGACTGGCCCTGTCCTGCGCACTGGTCCCTGCTCCTCCACCAGCATCCAGACGTGCCGGGCACAATAGAGGGTTTGCCTAGTCCTTTGGGTACCCACTTGTTGACCTGTTGTCTGCAAACTTGTCTAACTCTTTTTTTTTAAAAGCGGACGTGCTTTTCAGCTGCCCAAAGTGAGCAACGCTGATTTGGTGTCCACTTTACTACTTTGAGCAGCTGATTTCTTGCACATGGAGTTGGCATTACGTATGGAGAAGAGAGAAAAAAGATTGGAATTAGTTAATAGTTCAAGCAGTTGTTGCAGACTACAAATAGATCATAAACTTTTGTAGTGCCATTGTCATATGTGTGCAACCAGCTTAAAAACTCAAAGATGTTGCTTTCCTATCGTTGAGGTTTTGTAAATCTGATTTTGTGCACTGAGGCAGCCTTCGTGTACTCCCAAAGGTGAAAACCATTGCCTCAGATGCCGCATATTCCTGCCTGCATTGCTGATGGACGTTTCTCAGGATATCTGGCTAGCTCTATGTGCTCATTTCTTTGAGGTGAATGTGTCAGGAACACATGGAAAATGGGCTTAGCAAGAGAACTTTCTAACTATGGTGGTTTTAATTTGAAAACATTTTAAAAGTCCTGAACTCAGCAAACCAGAAGTTCTGAGATGAAGTAAATTTGACTGGTATGGCTAGCCTGGGCT